AAAAAGAGTCAAAGTTAACCTCCATATGAAGAAGATATAGATCCGAATCTAAAACTAGGTTTTGTCTAATATGAAAGAGCCAACGTGGAACAAATCGCTGCATCCAGGCCCCAAAGTTTCTTGAAGTGGCAAGTATCAACCTGCTATTACCCGGACTGACTGGAATGCAGTAGAAAAGTAGGAACATTTTTTTCATGAGTACGGGCGATGGTGGCTCCTGCATGAAGGAAAATACATTTTGCTAAAGAAATGCTGAGAAATTATAGACATAACTTATGAAGCAATCAACACTCAATAAGGTGAAAATATCTAATTTATTACCTCTGTGGTTCTAGCAGATGATGGGGACTTCTTACTTGGAACCCCTCCTGAACTGAAAGCACCGTAGAACATACATGGTGGAATAAAATAGCTGTTCACAAGTAACTGCTTCGAGGTGAACCCGTTTATGTCTAGTTTCTCTATAGTCATTTCAAGTGGTTTGCCACCTTCCCTATCAGCCTTCAGAGTGCAGTACACTTAGTGTTAGCCATGTGGAATTTAAAAGAAAATCATGTGAGCAGTAAGTCATGAACAGATATACTCATCTCTTTGGTGTTTCCGGGATTTTCATTATTCCATAATGTGCATATGGGACATGAGCAGGGTCCATAAGATTTTCAATTAGAACTTCATACCTGAAAATGCCAATGCAACTGTCAAGAATAACAAAAAACAGGTTCCCAAATTTTATATGCACCATTTGACTTCACAGTCAGTAGTTGGAAGATACATCAAATAAAAGTAAATGAATCAGGTATCGACCTTTCTGGCCACCCACCAAGCCATCACAATTGAATTTCATCTAATTTTTTGCCAGAAGTCCTTGTCACCTCTTGCTCAACTGTGACTCCATTTTTGTGCTTAGATTTTATTTCTTTTTCTTGTGTGGAAGCACAGGGAAATGCAAGATTTGTCTATATTCCCTTTAAATGATGAACAAGAATAGCTAGAGCCAGTGTGAAGTTTATCACAGTCAAATGGAATACTTTTTTATTTTGAATCCCAGCAGAGTGGTTTAAAATATGATGTACAAAAGTTCAGTACCAAAAAGGAAAAGAAAAGAACAGCATACCCATAAGGTAAATCTCTGCATATCATCGTATTGGTGAATGACGGGTCATCAAGTTCTGGGATGTAGGGAGGCTTTTTCTTCGATAGAATATCTTTATATAGCGGATCAGAGCTTGCCCAAAACCAAAGAATATTATTTTGTACACAACTTGGATATACAGCTACACATGCTTTCAAGGAAGTGTGAACCTGCAGAACCAATCTATCTCTTAATTTAAATGATGAGATCTATTGCCTAAACCCATGACGCAAGCACTCGTACGCACACATGCACACTCACAGAGCAAGGTACATTTGTTCTGTCAAGAATTTTTTTAGCTTTTCTGTATGGAAGTTCAAATGCTCAGGACAGTTTGTACAATCAGAAAAAAGGCCCATTAACTGTATCTATAAAGCCAATTCTATACTAGAAAAGACTTTTTCCTACGTCTATGAAGAGTTATCATTTCATTGTTTTACTATTCTGGCTATTTCCTTTTTATAAAGGGTCTCTTGTACATTTCGATAACATATTTCCATTTCCTTCAGCTAACAGTAATGCATATGAAGGTTAGGAACGCAAACCAATCCTTCTTTTAGATCATATTTTCTTCTCGATCAGATTACATTGCATTGGATCCCATATTAGATATACGGAAGACATAATCGTCAATTATTCATGTGTCTCAGGCTTGTGAGGCATCACACAGGGATAAAACCACAATACTCATTGGCCCAAAGGGTACATTACTTTGCAAGAATATGGATCCAAGCATTACATGACCTTTAATTTTCTCTGTCGGGAATCTCTAATAAAAAATTACTGTATGATTTTCCAGCTTGGTGAGTGATGATGCATGACCTGAATGTCTTAAACCGGCAAAAATCCTCTCAAAAGAAGCATTTTATTTTGAATAATGCGATCTAGCTCCATTGGTGTTACAACACAAGTCTAAGTGGCAACATATGATAAATCCATTTAAATGAACCATAGCTCCTTGCATTGAAATGAATCTTTCATTTAATATCCCATATGTTGCCACCCACACCAGTGGTGCTATAGATAGCCTTACTCTTATCTTATTCCGTCATTTTCTTACTGCAGTTGCTTATCTGAACATCCATTTCAAACGCTAAAATAGTTATGGTAATAGGCATATGAGCGAAATGCAGAAATAGTCTGAATGTTATCCTTAAATAGTCCTAATTTTTAGCACCTATTTCTTGTTAGAGCACATGCTGACGGCTATGGGCATCACAATAGCAAAATTAGTTGTTAATCAGTGGAATATATATTTTTGTTGTTGTTATTCCCTACTTCCCAATTATATAGACTTGTTTTGTTTTTCACACGGATTAAGTAATTATTATTTTTTTAATGTCATTAAAAAATTACTTTTTGCTAGGATCATTCCTTGTTTACCCCTATTTAATTTTCATTATGTAGCAGTAAATTATTGTTAGAATTAGTAAAAAATTTGAATAATTTAATTTGAAGAAGAAGAAATGAGAGTTGTTTCAAGAGGTGAGAAATCTGTCTATTTGGATGATTTCAAGAAGTTGATATATTAAATGGCGAAAGTTGAATAAAGGTATATCAGTAAAGGAACAAAACAAAATATTCTAAATTAAAAAATAGGCCTACATATTTGGGACAAGAGAGAAAGGAAACTCGGCCTATATAATTATGACGGAGTATTTTGCAGAACACTTCATTTTGTGAGTAAACAAATATGGTACTTGTAGTTACTAATAACAAAAATATCTTCACTTTCTGCTAAAGAAAAGAAAAGGAAAAATAGTTCTAAAGCTGCGTTAAAAAACACCAAATAATAGCCCACTTAGTTAGCAGAAGCAATTCATAGAGTGCTGAGTGCATAAAAACTTAATGTTCTAGCAGAAATTATTCAGTAAATTTATGGTTTTTGATCATTAAGAGATTATTGTTCACCGGAGGGCCGTCCCGGGGTGCTTGAGGAATGAACTTGCAGTCACCAGAACCACCAAAACACCAGCCATGGTACACACACTGCAGCCTACCCCATTGATCAATCCTTCCTTCAGACAATGGAGCCAATCTGTGAGGACAACTATCATTAAACACTATCCATTTATTCTCATTTCTATCCCACCAAATCACTATGTCAATTCCCATCACCCTCTTCCCATGTGGTCTTCTTTTGTCAAGATCACAAATTGGCATCACTGGGTACCATTGTGCAAACCAATCAAATTTCTCTTCTTCATTTTCTGCTTCAGAATCTTGATCAGGGGATGAAGTATAGTCAGATTCCCCAGTATATAGGACAGTTGGAGAAATGGCTGTAAAACTCTTTAAATTTCCTTTCTTGCTTAGAACTACAGGGACATGTGAAGTTAATTTCTGAGTTAAAGGAATCTGAATAATGGGTTTTTCAAATATGGTTTTCGAGATTAGTGGGTGGGTGAATGACGGAAATGAGGAAGCTCCCAGAGCTTCCATGGCTGGCAGTTTGTTTGGGAACTAAAATTTGCTCAAAATATATGGTAAAGATAATTATTTGTATGTGGATGGAGTTGAAGAGACGAACATACAAATGTATGTGGTTCCCACAAACCAAAACAGCTCGTCTTTTCTGCTGAAGTTATTGATTCAATTTTTTAAGGATGTGTTAAGGATATAATTCCACGTCGTATAAGATGAAGAAGACCAATCGATAACATTTTGAGTTACTATTCTTAATAAGATTGATCTTTTTAAAATGAAAGTCCGAATTTTAATATGGTATTAGAGTTTATTAAATTTCAATGAGCGATTCAATCAAATTAAGACTCGTAAATGAGCACATAGATTTTAAGATTAGTTTGTTCAAACAAGTCATTATCTTGCAAAGCATGTTAAGAATATAATCCCACATTGTATAAGATAAAGATATAGATCAATTTATAAGGTTTTTGACTACTCTTCTTAATAGAATTGACTTTTTAAGATGGAACCCAAATTTTAACAGAATACACTTTTCTAATTTATTGTAGAATAAAGCTATTTGAACAATTGTTGTTAATAATTGTGGTTGACAGTATTGATGTTAAAATTTGGACATTTGATTTAGAAATAGTTTTTAAAATAGATGAATGTAATGTTGGTAAGTGTGTATTGTCAACCAAGATTGTAAAAAGATATTATACAAGTAGTGTGATCGTTTTTTGTGCAAGTTATATTTGCCATGGTCACAAACTACATAGTTAAGTTTATGGTAGAAAATCAAAGATTGTGTATTTAGTTTTAAATTTAATTAACTTTAACTGAATAAGTGAAAATCAAGTTTTGGGCTGTTTTTAACAAAAAATTACTAAAATCACTAAAGGAAGCTTTCTAAAATGGTATTCCAAAAAAGAAGGGGTTAAAGTATATTAATCTTTCAAATATCTTTTCTGGTGCTACTTGTCATCTTTTCAAATTTAAATTAGTTAGAATTAGGGTGTGATCCAAATTCTATTTGAAGTACAGTTGAGAATTCTATTTGAAGTCCAGTTGAGAATTCTAATTGACGTCTATCTGAAAATTTAAGTTGAAATTCAATTTATGAGTTGATAATAGACTTGAATAGGTTTTGAAGGAGTCCAAGTTGCAATTCGAGAAGGTTTCTCAATTTTAGCACCGTTTTACTTTTATTTCATCTCACATATTCCATTATTAGTTTTATTCATTGTATTGAAACTTTACTTTATATTAAACTCTTCATTGTATTATATTCGTTGTATTATATTCTCCTAGCATATCAGGGATTCTTAATATTATACATATGTGGTGTACAACAGATATTTTGGTTATCTAATTATCCAATAGGTTAGTTGAGATTAGATATATTGTAATTCAATATCATTAGAGTTTGATATATGGTCCATATTTATTAAATAATGAGTGAATTGTTCAAATGATCACTAAATTTTGTAAAAAGTTTCCAAGAAGTCACTAAACTTTAAAAATCACATAAATGGTTACTGAACTTTGTAAAAAATTTCTACGGGGTCACTGAACTTTAAAAATCATTTAAATAGTCACTGTAAGCAGTGCTTGAATTTTAGATCACATTTATTGAGTTTGCGCTTCAGGTTTTTGTGGAAGATGTAGAGTAATTTGTTTGAGGAGTTTTGTTGGAGTTAAAGACTTAAGTTTTATTCTTTGTAGCGGAATTTGTCTTTATATACAGAGTTTTTTGAAGTTTTGTTCGTTGTAGTAAAATTTGTGTCGATATGGAGTTTGTTTGAATTGGAGTGTGACCTGAGTTATGTTTCCAATTGGGAATTCTAGTTAACATTAAGTTGAAATTCAATTTGGGAGTTGGTAATAGACCCAAAAAGACTTGAAGGAGTCCAAATTGTAATTGGAGAAGATTTCTCGATTTCAACTATTTTTAACTCCTATTTCATTCCAAATATTTCATTATTGATTTTACCTATTTGTTTTGAGATTTCACCTTATATTAAATTCTTCATTGTATTATATTCTCCTAATATGTTACGGATTCATAGTATTATATATATATAGTGTACAACACATATTTTGGTTATCCAACAATCCAACAGGTTAGTTGAGATCAGATATATTGTAATCCTTACTTTTGATATAATGAATTCTTCATTTCTGTTCGTGATTTTCCGTCTTTTTCCATGTAAATCTTGGGTTCTAGTGAGTGTTATTTTCATATTGCCTTATTATTTCCCGTCTTTAATATTCATGATAAGTGGTATCGGAGCAATATATAATTCTTAACAGTTGGCTCATGACGCAGTATGAAACAAGGATTTTAAATGAAAATCTTAAGTATACAAATTTTGAAATCTACGAAATTATGAAGGAACTATACTCACGAGAGTTAATTAATGTAAGATGATCAAAAATGATAAATTAACACTTTATTTATAAGAGTTTACATGAAAACATAATTTAAACAAACTAAAATTGAAAAGAATTCAAAATAAATTAAATGACAAAGATAGCACTAGAATTTTAAGTGCAATTTTCGAGTCGTAAATGAACTTAAATTGTCAAAATCCATCGTACATCAAGGCAAAGCGATTTGTTTTACTCATCTCGTCGTTCCCTTTTTGGAATGATATTATGAGCCCAAACCGAAGCTCGAATTCCACACCCACACTATTATCTTTTTTCCTTTTCGATCCAATTCTTTTTCAATTAATTCAGCCATCTGTCTACATCAGCTCGTTTTCTAACAAAATTGTTCCCTCTTTACTGTTATGCGAAAATATCTTTCGAATTAAACTTACCGGTATAGTTTGTTAACAAATAAAAAAATTAGGCTACTTGTGCACTTATAAGTAAATTAACTAAATCAAATGTAAATTATGCTAAATGAAAGTTGATGTATTTTAGAGCCCGTTTGAGAGTAATTTTTTCCCCCCCCCCCC